TTGAAGGAGCCATCTGCTTTGGTTGGCCTTGCTGTTGCTCAGCTGCCGTGAACGGATCTTGGAGGCGTTGATCTCGGGAAACCGAATCAATTTTTGTTGAAACAGACTGTGATGCAAGCGGGGTTTTTACCAGTTATTTTAGTCACCCATTCGGCCTTCTGAGTAGCCTCTCCAATGCGGTGTCATTTCGAAATCGAGGACGAAATTAGCATGGATTCTTAATGCGTGTTCAGTGCAAGTCCAAAATCCACTCTCCCAAAACGTGCTCCGAATTTCGTGGGCAGGTGTTTTGCAGCTGCGCCTGCAGCAACACCCCTACGTCCAGACTCCATGCGTGTTAATATGGTGTGGATTTGTGCGTTTGCGTGTGTGGTCAGATTGCATGTCCAGCTCATTTTCACTCGCAGTAATTCGCTGTAGAGTTTATCTGTTCCTCAAATGAACACAATCACCAGCTGCTCTCATGAGTAAAAACAACCAATTGAAGGCTGCAACGGCAACCTCTCGTATCGATTTCCAACTTTCGACAGTAAATGTATGCAAAAATGTATTGACAAATTTAAATAGCGTTCACTAAGAGCATCGCTCATCTATTTGGTAGACTGTAATTGGCGCGTAGTAAGAATAAGCATTTAAACAACGGATGCATCAAGACTAACATGGCCTTTTTCAGTTGCACACGCTCGCCTTCTGGACACCATCCAATCGCAGTGGGACAGCTACAAACGCTGTGAGAACCTCTACAAGTGTCTGGAGGTGGAGCGTGATCTCGTGGGACTCCAGCCAATTGGAGCGTCCGGCGGGACAGACGAAATGGGCCCGTGGCTTGCCAAACCCTCGCGTCAATTCATCCGCGAAGGCCTCCTACAGAAGCTCTCCAAAAAAGGCTACCAACAGCGCATGTTCTTCCTCTTCTCTGACCAGTTAATCTATGCAAGCAGAACGAACGCGCCGTACCTGCAGTTTAAGGTACACTTTCGTCACTTGTTGGTTTGCCGTCATGCCTGGGAGGTATTTTTAATTAGCCAGCAGCACCTGTGCCGTGGTACCACAATCACGTGATAAACACCAGTCGCACCGGTCATTGACCAATCAAAAACCGACCTACTTTAGTTAGGCTGGATAGTTGAATGTGGATAGGTGGCAGTGGGATGTTGCAACAGATCCGCTGTCTGAGTGGTTAGTTTAACCCAATCAAACATTTCGATTCGCAAGACGTCAATGGCAGTCCGATTGATAGGCCAGTTTGATCAGAATTTTAACCAATCACTTTTATCTACGAGGACGTGGATGGCATGCCATCCTGCCTCCATTTGTGCCCCGATGTGCTGACCGGTAGGCTTACGTAAAATCCGCCGATTTAGAGGTAATGGGACCTTTTAGGTGCCTCACGAGTAGAGTCACATTTATTGTACACACCCATATCCGCCGATTCGACTAGATTATGTAAAGTCCGCCAGTTTAGTGGTTACTCATGTTGATATTTTGCTTCAACTTGCGACCTTATCGTAAATTGTGGACTTGGGTAGAGTACTATCACTATGACGACAATTTCCGTTGGCCAGGATCAATTTTTATAATTGCAAAAAGTTCTTCCGAGATTTTGTCATGCTGGATTGACGATCCACACGAACGCAATCTTCAGCATCACTGTAACACTTTTGGACGCACACGAAGCGGTTTTGGACGGACCCGGTTTGCGGGACAGCCAAAAAAATGAGGCGAGAGCGTCACTCCAGAAAACGGTCATTTCCCACACTCGTGTCTGAGTCATTTCTCGCCCCTACCCACTTATCTCCCGCAGCAGAACAGGATTTTATCTGTTTGCAGTTTATAATCTTGACAGGTGCATCCCGTTTTGCCTTGAGAAGTGGACCAATAGGCTGGCGCGCGGTCAATTTGAATTAGTGTGCACGGCGGCTTCAAAACTAGGCACTAGACAATGGTGTTTGGCTTGTCTTTGGTTAGGTGCACGGCCAGTTCCCCCTGCAAGACCTCATGGTGGAGGAGGCGGAGACGGCGTTGAGTTTCACCGTCTACTCGGGCAACCGATGCTTCGTGGTCGCCGCGCCGACGGAGTGGCAACGCGATCGCTGGCTGGAGGACATCTCGCGCGCCATCCTCGCCGCCAAGACCACCACCGCGTCCGCCCCCAACCACCACCGCCTCCTCGGCCAGTCCCTCGGACTCGAACAGCTGGCCACGGCGTCGGATGACACAGTCGACGACGACGCCAAATCGGAGCGATCAGGCAAGTCCACGCCAAATCCACGCGCCCATTTCGCTTCACTTGTAATTCAACTGAAGACGCCTAGCGTTGCACAAATGTAGACTTTGGTAGACGAAGAGGTGCAGAAGAGATGTATCACCAATTAATAACAAGGTACGTCCGCATTGCCGATGTCCTGTGGCAGGCGTATTCACCTTGGTGTTCTATTTTTCGGATGGAACTTTTAAGCCAGCCGTAAGCTCGATCGACGGGCCCTGGCACCAAAAACAGCGATAGCTCCTAACCCCCATTTCTCTCGTCACCAGAACATTTTGATCCGAAGTGGCTATTAACATTTCCCCCTGCTAACGTCATTCGGTGACCTTTAGGCAGGGGGACATCAGCGCACGACGTGTACCACCTACATTCCATCTGACCTTTGATCCCGCTGCCTTGTTGAATTGCCTTCGTAAGATCTCTGGGTGCTTGCGCGATATCATGGTACACACACGTTGAAATGCCTACGCAGCATTCGCAGTATGCACAGATGACAGGATGTTGATCGTCACGCTGTTAGCCTCTGATGAAACAACCCTTACTACTTGTCAGACTTCAGTAGTTGAAGCTGAATGTCTTGGAATTAAACACACGCACTCTACTTGTGATTGCAGAGTACAGCAGTGGAGTCGCGAGTACGGACACCGGAAAGGTGCTTCATCGGGCCACAACGAGTGTCCACGTGTGCTGGCATCGCAGTTCCACATTCTCCATGTCTGACATTCTCCGAGCCAATGAGGTTGGTGTTTTGCCTGCTCTCAAGTTTGTTTTAATTGAACAAGGACGCGGTTTAATTGTCGCGCGTTGTTTTTTTTCTTGTTTCAATTGGCTAGTACCACACGAGCGGATACTTGCTGCGGAAATTCAAAAATAGCAACGGCTGGCAGAAGCTCTGGGTGGTCTTCACTCAGCTCTGCATGTTTTTCCACAAGAGTTATCAGGACACCTTCCCATTGGCTAGCCTCCCTCTCCTAGGCTACACCATCACTACGCCCAGTCCTGAGGACAACATTCGCAAGGAGTTTGTCTTCAAGCTGCAGTTCAAAAATCACGTCTACTTTTTCCGCGACGACAGCCAAACGTCCTTTGAGCGGTAAATGACATTTCTACTGTCAACATATAAGTAGACATTATTTTCACGGCGTGGCTTTTCATCTAGGTGGTTTGACTGTTTGAGCAGTGCTGCGGGAACGAGCTCAAGACAGCGTGTGGTGAACACACGCTCCACAGCAAACAGCACCGCCGCAAACACCGTCACCACCACGACTGCAGAAAACAAGTGATTTCGGTTTATACTGGTACCAAACAAGATCGCCCCCCCTCAGCGATGCCGCGTGTTTGTTCTGCTGATGTTAGGTGCTAGCTTCCATGTGCAATATCCCCTTGTGTTCTTCTTCTTCTCCTCCTTCCTCTTAACCCTTCCTGACTTCAATCATTATTGTAAATTGCAAAGTCAGTCGATTTTTGCGTTTCTCAAAGTCCGTTATGGATCTGCTTTTGGTTTTTTTGGGGTGCCGGAATGTGCAACGATGTTGAATTCATGAATGGTCCATAAACGTACTGTCTTTTCAAGGATGTACAAGAACCACTGGTATGGCGGATGGCTATTGGCCAGGCGATTGGCATTTGAATGTTGAGCCAACGCGACCTCAATTCCGACATCCAATCAAATGTCAGATATGCCCTGCCAACTTTCCTGACTAGTGGTATATGCTTAGCAATGCTCTCACTATTCCAAGGATAGTGCTTGTCTTGCAGCCACAAAATTTCCCTAAAAAAGAGGTAATCGGAAGCTAGTCCAACACACATTCACCGGAAACAGCAATGTGGGGACTCACATTTAATCGTCGGGCCAGTCTGTGCGGTAATTTTAATTGCTATCACTGCTTAAAGGTCAGCCAATCCTGCAAAGTACTTACATTTTCAGGTCATACAAATTAGCTCACAAATATTAAATTTTCATTTTAAAATTCTGTTAAAGACTTCACTCAAGTGGTCGTATCGATTTTTTCCAAAGCTTGATGCAAAATCAATAGGCATTGAAGTCTAGTAAAGACTTCATTAAAAAAATTATCGATTTTTATCGAGCAGTGGGAAGACACGGACCGTCTGCACGTCCGAAAGAACTCAAATTGTGGTGCGAATCTCGCTTACCCCCCAAAACTTGGTGAAGGCGCTAATTGTAACCGGAAAGACTACTTAAATTCTGCGAAGGCAGAGTTGAAAGACGGCCAAGATCGGAAAAAAAAACTTAGTTTGAGAAGGCAACAGAGTCGCCCCATCCACCTTCCGCTGCTGACAGGAAATCTGAGAACGTGTTCCGCCAAACGATAGTTTAGGAATTACGGGAAGTGTGTCGTTAAACTATGCCCCGCCCCAAACATTTTTATAAGCCTGCCTAAATTAAGACCTGTTCTTGGAATAGTAAATTGTGTTGATAATGCGTCAAATATATCTGTTGTGAATCGGTATTTACAAAGAAAAGTGGTAAGAATCTAGAGAATACAGCGATGAAGAAATGCGAAAAGCCGCAACGAAGAGCTGCTCTGGAGGTCAAACGGTAACTAAGGTCGCCGTCTCACAATCGGGTCATCTGGTGCCGCTGGCGTGTTCGTTCCGCCAATCGTGCGAGTAGTCACCTGGAGGAGAAACAGTCGATAACGGCAAATCTGCCTTCCTATTGGTTGACGCCGGCAAAGCCGCCTTTCTATTGGTGGACGGTGACGATCGTCCACCGAGCCAATCGCAAACCCTCGCCGACTTACTTGGAGTGGCGAATAACTGCTGAGCGCTAACCAGGGCGGCCAAGTCGCCAAGGAGTTTCTGCAGCAGACGGCTTTCGAGAAACTCGGGTTCGGGCAACGGCGGCTGGCACGCGGGGTAGTCTCTGAAGTCGCGATGGAAGCGGAGGACCATGTTGCAGAAGCAAAACCGCAAAATAAACACCCGCAAGAAGTCCACGCAAAGGTACTGGTGGAAGGAGGGATCTGGCAAATGAAGCGAAAGCGAAAACAGACCAACGTCGTGGCCTTGAAAACGACCAATCAGGGGCGGCTCTTAGCTCAAACAGTCGGCAAACTGACGCGTTTGACAGGCTCCGTCTGCTCGGTTCGTTGGGCGCGACAAATAGCGCATAACAATTAGATGCGAAATGAGATCGGCGCATCATTTAAATTTGAAAATACAGACCAATGAGTTGTTGTTGTTGTTGCCACGGCGACAGCCAAACCAACCCGCGTATTAAAAAGCGATTAATAACCGACATTTTTGGCACAAATCGCGTCAAACTGACACCCAGGGGAAGCGAAAAGAATTGGCATGGCCTGTCGGCATGTCCTAGCAACTGAGAAAGAGGTTTTAATTGTGGTAACCCAATGTGCGAAAAATTAAAAGCCCCGACCGTTACTACGTGGGGATTGCGCAAAGAAAGGTGTGCGTCATCACTAGCGGCGGTTTCCAAGGCTATTCCAGGTGACAATTAGATCATGGAGGAGATTCCACGGCAAATTCAAGGTACTTTTACCGACTCCTAAGCGCCCCGTCTCTTTGTGGTGGCAACTCAGGCGGTTAGATCAGAGTTGGGCCGGCCCAATTATCCGCAAAGCGTGATTCAAGAGGGGAAATACAGTGTTGAAATACAGTGACTGCGAGTTTCGCAACTTCAAAATCTAAGAGGGGTATAGTAATGAGTTGACGCGGTTGACAGGAAGATTGGTCAGATGATCCAGAGCCACAATCACACGCAAACAACACACACGCAATTGCAAAATCAGGCCTTAGAGACCTGGACTTAAAATTGCATCGCAGTTCCGGCAAAACAATCGCGATTTTATCAGAGACGAGCACCAGACTTGTTACAAGCGGATTTTAATGGGACTCTAGAGAGAGATCGCTCCTAATGTCTAGATTACTCACTATCTTTATAAGCGTGACAAAACAACTGTGGATGATAATTACCACAAAAGCGCGTCAGCACAAAAAAGGGAGTGAAGCCTTATCTACACTTCGCAGATGCGCGGTTAGTTGGGCAAAAGAGTTTGTGTTTAAAAGAAAAACCGATGCAAAACGAGCGTAATTGATCACTGCCGGGTCTACGAGGAGAAATCCAGTCAACCTGGGACTCACATCAACTCCCTACTCAACATTGGAAAACGGTTTTAGCGAAGTTTGTGGTCCGTTTAGTTGCGTCTACTGGTGTTGAGCTTCATCAGATAAGAGGCAAAATCAATTCCAAGCAACCGCGACGACTCCAAGGTGAACAACCTGACTCACAACCGGACAAAAAAACCCACCGAGGTGTCGAGCACGAAGGAGGATGCGATAGCACTCGCCCATGAAGGAATTCACAATGGACTGGCCGCGTTCCCACGTCTTGAGGCTAATGGAAGAGAGGCCGCAGATGTGGAGGTAGGCGGTGAGGGGGCAGTGGAGGAAGAGGGTGAACATGCTGCCCTTGCGTCGTTGGCTCGCGACGCCCTCCGGGACCGTCTCGGGGGAGAGCAGAGCCACCAAGGGCTGGCCGAAGAGGCTGTGGACGTGCTGGCGGAGGGAAAACAAACACACGCGTAGACACCAAATAGATCTCGATTGTGATCGCAGTTGGTGGGATTGGAAAGGGAGGTGTCTACTCAAAAGGACATACCTTGAAAGCACTGCTGTTGTCACTGTCCACAATGAGGAAGAGGGGTCTGCGGGTGTAGGGATAAAGGTCGCCCGGGTGTATACTAAAACGCATAAACGATGAGTCACCACGGTGAGTCGTTAAAGCTACCCTCAGCTGATTGGTAGATTGCACAGATGATGGGCGAGACAAGGCAAATTTAGACAATGTGCGGAGGCTCGGTGAGGTGCACTTTAGCCAAGGCTCGTAGCCGTGGCAACGCACGGGCACGGAGAATCGATTTATTGAGTGCATGTACTCGCCGCACCACCCCCACCCCACCCCACCAGCACCCCGTGAAGCCCTGTGTCTCGCTGTTTTGGCAACGAGGACTGCGTGAGGTGCCGAGGGTAAAACCAAACGGCCACACGTCGCGTCAAGCCTAAACGAGACTGGCGGGGAGGGGGGGCGGCGGCGGGCTCAAATGGACCTCCAGCTGGCCGCTTCAATGCGGCGTCGGTCGGTCTACGTGCACTAAGCACGCATTGCGCATGGCGAACCGCACTACGAAAAGTACCGCAATGTTGCGCGTGGAACGCGCGTGACATAATCGCCTCGGGGCTGGATAGCACAGCAACCCAAACAACGACACGCTTCAATCGCGTCAACGTGGAAAGCGACGCCTAGCGACAAATCCAGTGACAGTGAGCGAACATTAAACGGGTAGGTACAAAGATAAGCCAGATGATGTCAGGGAGAATGAGTGATAATAACAGGCATGGCTGGCTGGTTGGTTGGTTGAGGCGACAAGCTAAACCCCCACAACTCCCGGCTATGAGTTCACAGCGTTTGTGTAGGCGTAAGATTTGGCGGGGATTGCTGTAGCTACGCTCCCGATTCCGGCTCAAGAACACACCCTCGACATTGCATGACTTACCAATGAGGCTCGCGATTGGAGGGTTTTTTGGGTTTGGTCACAGGGCCGTGGTCGCGTTGGCTATTGGTTACGACACCGCCGACGTCGTAACCACTGGCTAAGTACGCTAAAACGATTAGAACGTTAAATTTTAGCGCATTTTGTATAACATCGACAGGGCAATTGTTTGCACAAGGATGACAAAAAAACACGTACAAGCGATGGGGCCACTTAAAGTGAAGTTGTTGAGTCATGGGTTGCCCCGCAGGCGTCTTAACAACCGGTGCTCAAGGCGGTAACCAGGGCGACACACACACACACACACACGCAAACCAGGCTGCGTGCAATTGGCGGAGAGGCTTCAAGTGAGGGCGCGCCCACGATCACGATCTACGCGCACCCCCGCCCCGGCAACCAGAACCCCACCATTCGCCTTGGTAACAGGGCCATTGGCCACCGAAATGACACGGCAACAGCTGCGCGGCCGCATGGCAACTACGCTGTATATGTTGGCACTACGAGCGGGCCGGTGAGTGTACGCACACACACACACGTTGTTCTTTTCAACTGGGTTCTACCAGCGACATCCGGTGCAAGGGTGGGTGTGTGGTTGGGGGGGGGACGTGAGGGGAGGGGGGTGGGGGCGGTGATGAGGGTGAAAGTGTAAACGACGAGAACGCGACGCCAACGCACCGTAGCTGGAGCAGCGTTGACGGCCTAGCGTGACAGCCCACTTAAAAGGGGATATCAGGCAAATCCACACGGCGATATCGCTAATCGTACAGATACTTGTGCACCTCCCCAAACGTAATTCCCACAAAACCCCCAACAAGTAACAATGACGGCATGGAGTAGCAGAGGAGAGTGGACAAGCAAAAGGAATCTACGAATTGGCATGGGGTTAAGTCCAGTCATGCTGAAATATGCCTTTACTCAAAACCAAACAAGGTACCACTTGTGCACACGCGCTAACACGGGTCATCACTGAATTCGGATGGTATTAAAGCCGACGAGAAATCGGGAATCGCAGAGCAATAACTGCAATGCATGCCCACGACGAAAGAGTTTAATAAACAGGATGGTATTCAGTTTCACGGGTAGATTGAAAAAGACGCGGAGGACACGATGATTAAAAATTAATTTTTGACAAAATGAAGAAAAACGGATCGTTTAATTTGACTATGCATTATTTTCACTGATAGAAAATGAGCACAAAGTATGAACTAACAGCAAAACCTCGTTAATTTAACAATATGAGAGCTTAGACATTGAGAACTTGTACTTACGATCATTATGGGTCTTCGTGGAACATTTCATGCCGTCAGCAGACAGGTAAAGAAGCAATACACCATCGCTGGGTAAGTCTTTGAGACCCGCCGCCATAAAAGTGTTGAACTGCGAAAAGGATGGTTTGTAGAGCAAGTACTTGTGTGGATTATTGCATTGATTGGGCTGTAAACCCAACGGCGCGTTAAGCTGCAAGTCGTCAAAATCTCCAACACCGCCGTTTTCAAGGCTCTTCGGACGACGAACTCCACCGGGTGCATTGGAGTGAGGGAAATCAGCTGTTTTGCCGAAGTTATCTTGTGGGTCCCTCTCCACACATTGGAGCATGCGAAACATATCCAGGGTGATCTCACTGAAACGAATCTGGTCGAATGTGTTGCCTATGATGAGGATTTCCGCTAGCTGCAACTGTTTAACCCCGGAATCGGTAAGGGACTTCTCAGCAGGGAAGCAATTGACTTGGCTGAGACGACTGTTGATCACAACGGGGTTTGAGTCAGCACTTATAATCGTGCATATGTTATCGGCCTCAACAAATTCCCGGATCTCCTGCACAATGGCGTTCCACTCCATATGTTCTTCCAGGGGGCAAGTTATGGCGTATTCATTAATTTGACGAGAAAACTCCTTAACCGAAGCTGGTATTAAAAACCGAAACTAACTTTTAGCAACTCTCGGATTACGCTAACCCTTTTCAAAAGAAGACAAACGATGATGTATCTGGCATAATACCTAAGCTTTTTGACTACTTGTTCAGAACGGTTATCTTTGCTTGGACGTGCGAAATATTCGCGCGATCGGATGGCGGAAAAGAATGAGTAAGACTCCTGAAGGTAGTAGATATCGCTAGTCCTAAGACTAATATCAAGTTATTACAAGACAGTGAAAAAACATACTAGTAGTGATAATAAAGCTGCCCAATCTTAGAGGCAATCTCGCCAATTTGCCAACGTTTAAGGCCATACACTTCGTCTAATGTTGATCGATGATCACGCTGGAATTTCCAAAGCTTGGTGTATACGTCAAAAGTTCTGCCAAAGTACGTTTGCCATTGCTTGTGACCATATTGAGGTAAATCCCTAAAAAAGAGTAACGGCTCATAAAGCTACGAGAGCTACGAAAGTTTGAGTACAAATACCAACGCCGACACAACTACAGTAAAAGGAAATTCATTTAGTGGTTAACAATTAGCAGGAAACGTACAACCAACTCGAACTTTATACTTTTCCAAGAAAAGTGCGTTTGGTATAATCTAGATACACGGATATGAAAAAAACGTGAGCATATTGGACAACAAATAAATTCTCCCATGGATACAAACGAGAAGGCAGCTAAAAGACTTGCCTAAGTCCGTTAAATAGCTGTTTTGATTTTTCATATAGATGGCAGAACTCTGATACAAGCAACTTATCCGCTTCTATGGTCTCTGGCAACGCGGGAGCCTCACCCTCCAGTAGACGTTCAACAGATGCCATCAAATTTGTGTAAATCGCCAAACCTTTAAAAGACTATTATTGACAAACTCAAACAAACAGGTGAAATGTCACAATTCAGCTGTTCTTCGCAACACTATATCAACTCTTAACTTTATTGTGCACAGTTCAGTTGCTCTTCGCAATACTTTACCAACTCTAAACTTTATCGTGTACAATAAGACCAACCTTTGCATTTAAAAGAATGTTTTTTTCAAGATCTGTATTTGAAAGCAGTAAGGTAATAATCAGTCGAGGAATTTTTAATAAAAGCAATCACATCAATTTATTACAGGCCTTTAAATACACTTAAGATTGCATATTTTGCGTCGTATTAAAAATACAGTCAGCATATCCAAAGTACTTTATTGCAAATTTCGATGAACTTTTGTTAATTCGGAAATCAAGTATTCAATGAAATTAAATTGTTAGAAATTATTTTCTTTCCAATCAATACTAAATATGTGGTAGACGGACAAAAAAGCATATTGTACTACTCCATCTCTTTAATGGACTATGATTCATTGAGGCTCAAAAGCACGCACATCAAATACATTAGTTACTCATCGTGATTAACGGATGATTAAGAGATTGCGTCAACTCAATGCTGCACCATTCCAAATAAGAGCCAAGTTTCTCAGTTCTTTAGATCTCAAAAAAATTAAATTAAAATAGCTTTCTCTTTTCGATGAATTAAATTAGGCATTCGATACTTAAGCACGAGGTCGGACAAGCGCGTTGAGTAAATGTCGCTCGATTAACTGATGGCTTTCGCGTTAAATCTTTTGACATTTCATAGAGTACACTTTGAGATCCTCTGATTTATCGTAAATTAAAATACTTTCGATGAAGTTTTCGGGAAACCCGGTGTGCTATTGCATAACTAAATTCATTCAAGCTTTATTTTTTTGGCTTGGAGATACTAAGATTTGCTAATTAGCGCATAATAGATGACATTCTTAAATTTGCCAAGGAAAAATTGTGTTTAAATCCCAAAAACTAAGATAGGTAATTTGAAATATTTAGCATTTATTTATCTTGCAATAAGGTCATGTACTTTTGTGGTAAAAAAGCATTTTTTTGGATTAAAATTGCAAAATCTTCTTCTATATAGCAAATTTTGAAAATACATTTTCAGAGTACACATTTGACAACAGGTTGCACCTAGTATAACAAAGCATATTTTAATCAAGTACTTGAGCATTTTTCAATGGTGTTTTAACACTTAAAGATGGTGATCATTACTTCGGCTTTAAATTCTTAGTGAAGTCAAGTAAGGGAAATTAGACTTAGTTCAGTTAAGCTTCAAATGTGCTTATTACGCGCTGTCTACTATCAGAGCTACCACAATAGTCTTTACCCCTCATACACTTTAATTCCAGTGAACAATACTACTTGAAAACAGTTTACCCATTTTTGAAGTTAAAAACTGTTCAAAATAATATCTTAGAAGGATGAACCTGAGTTTTCATGCCAGCAAAATTTAAAGAAATATAGCCTGAATTTGATACCTACTTGACAATGACCAATTTGTATTCCCTTTAAATTTAATGACAACTAATTCTGCATGCATACTCATCACTTTCGCTTAAAAAAACTAACATCTATCACAATCCTAGGCAGAATGCAAACGTTGGAATATGAGTAGAAACAAATTTTAAATAATATGGGTCGTCACAGACGAGGAAAGGTTTTTTTCCACTTCGATAAGAAATACGTTAAACTTAGAGATTAAATCTTGATTTTAATTCATAGAAAAACCAAAAGCATAAGGTCAAATTATTAGATACATCTTTGTTGAAACACCAAGCTATGGTTAAAATTCTGATAATATTTCAGAACTGAATTTGGTGGAAAGTGTTGAACCGGGCACCACACCATACTTTTAATATTCTCTGAAGCGTTAATAGATGTCGTCCTGAATGCACAGATTTTTTTTAAAATTCCTCGCACACCCATTATGAGTTACAGTAGAGGCCAGGGTGAAAAATCGATGGTTATCCGGGCGTGCAATTTTTTACAGGGGTATATTAAAGTGCTGGGACATATATTGAAATGATAGACGTCACTATTGCAGCCCTAACATCTGATACCCGCTTAGAAAGTAAATAATCTCTGCTGTTTAAAAAAACCAGGAATAGATCTGGCGATAAATGGCTTTCAGAGCTACTGATAATCTGTTAGTAACAAAAGATGTTTTATCATGATAAATTCGCACACAATGACCAATCCTCAATCAAAGTCATATCAATAATTATTTTTGGTGCATACAACGTTAAACGCTTGTGGTTATTTTAAGGTTAGTTGCCAACGGAAATCATCAATTTTAGTAGTCTGGTCTAAATAAATTCACTACCTTCTATGAATCAAGCTGGCGACCTCTCTGTAGGTGTTGCCGTTTTTCAGAAATGCGGAAAACACGTTTATGCCGGGGTGTGTCCACAGGTTTTAACATGAAAGGTCTTTATAGATGCTCTTTTCTCTACAATGGAATTTTAAGGTTATTGTTTGCTGTAATATCGCGTGAATCATACATTAACAACGCCGTTGCTAGCTGCAAAGTAATACTAAATTATCTAAAATGATTTGGCAGGGAGTGAAAATGAGCGGGTAAAATAAAAGTTGTCCCATTATGTCAAAGTTAGCTAAATTAACCCAAATGGGTCGTAAGGTTTTCTCATTGGTTGGTTAAAAACCGCCATTGTTGTCATTTTACGCAAGGTTACTTACTCAACTATATTTGCATTGTGTCAAAACAGTAATTGACCTTATGTAGGATAATTTACACTCATTGTTTGTTCAGAGCCCATCTATGTAATTAGTAAATCTTCCCACAATGTTTCCCACCATCAACTTGCTTGTTTATCGTTTGACATCTCCGAAAGTTTGTTAGTTTAACTCATTCAATCTGAGCTGACAAGTACAACATTTATTGATTGATTGTACAAGTGAATCTGGTTTTAGCTGCAGACCACAGCCTAATACTTACGAAGTTCTGGCATTTACCGCCGCCACTAATTTTCATTTAGTAAGCGTAAATTTCTAACAACTGAGATGATATGCCTTTTAAAATCCATTCTTGCATGTGTGCTTTAGGCACCTTGATTAATTGCGACCATGTGATATGAATGCTAAGCATTTACTGGCTGAATGTTCATAAAATCAGAGGCGACCAATAGGCGAAAGGTATGCCGGAGGCCATATCTGATTGGTTACTATTTCACCAATTAAGTATGAGTTGGCATTAAAAAAATCGATGAGGAAGCGTGTTGAGAGCTGCGTGCAATTTCTCGATGCGAAAAGTGCAGCTTAAATAAAAAGAATGCTGTTTAATTTGTCAACAGTGAAAAAAGCATTTGACAACGCAGCTGATGGGAAACACTACTTGACAAGTGACGATTCAGAAATTTGCTTAATCGAACTTTTCGGACAACGCCCCTCACAGCGTCTCATGAATCACCTAAGCGACAACTTTGACGTTTCAGTTAACGGAAATCCAGTGGGAATTTCACTGCCCAAATTAATTTCATTTGTCAAAAACGACCTATGCTGTCCGTTGGATAAGAAAGAGGGTCCAACGAGACAGGAATTGCTCGCGCTGTTTCAAGCCCTAGACAGTAGAGGCTACAACTTCGTCACAATGAAGGATTTTCTTTCACGAGCAAATAGCAGACTTCTGAGAGGCAGCCTTCGCATGGCCTTCAAGGTATTTGACATCGACGGAGATGGAAGGGTCTCCTACCGTGATTTTGTGGAGGGAATAGTGTCTGGAGAGATGGTTAATTTGTAAATTAGTTTTCGATTGCCTTTCTACGCGTTATTTATTTAGTGTGATCGCTAATCACCCGTGTTATTCACTCATTCGTTTGGCATCTTTTCATGTAAAATTGTACAAGAGGTTGGAAGGTGTGATTCACGAGGTGCCCATTACCAGACAACAAATGTACTTACGTTTAATGCTGATGATCAAGAACAAATTGTCACGAGGTGAATTAGCCGGCTAGAATTCTCTTTGATGTACACACGTCTCCGCCGGAGCCTAAGTTAATAGGTCCTGTGGCCCTCATTCAATGGTTAGCACTGTTTAAGCTGTATGCTGGTCAGGTTACTATACAAAAAGCTTTAAAGACTGCAAGATGCTTGTAAAGCCACACATGTGGGTAAAGCTTATATGCACTTTTAACAAAACGGCCTTCAAGGCCAGTCAACATTTTCTGGAATGCTCCGTGGTGTGAGATAGAAAGATCAAAAAAAGAGGAAAGTCCAGGTTAAAATCACTACTGTAAATTGCCAAAAGAATCACACCCATTTGCAAGGCAACAAGCCGACTGCACTTTGTGCCAAATTTGATAGTCTGTGTCAACATATTGTGCCAATTGCCACACAAAAACAGAACTTCTGATTTTCCTAAATAATCACTAATGCACTGAAAAGGGGACAATGCAAGGGATCGATTTACGCAGTTTTCATCAATAAAAATCAATTTTTCACGATTTAAAGTAATCTAATCTGCAGAAGCTCAAGGTCAGCCGAATTTGGGTTGTTGCTCATGGAGGAGGTGACAATGCACACCGCAGATTCTAGAAGAACCGAAAGGTTTCGGGAAATCCCAGAAAGGGTTTATAAAGACGTCCATGACAATAAATGTGCGTACTTCGTTGGTTGATAATCCAGGAATGTGATCTAGAGGTGGTTGAGAAACCACGACTGTCGATTTCTCCTCTTGACATGGCAAAGTGACGATTTCAGGGCGAAGTGTGTTTGTGTGTGTTTCTGTATGAGACAGAAGTGTGTGAAATGGTGGAAGGTGATCAATAGCCAGCTGATTTGACACGCGACCAAGCTAAAAGTGTGTCGCGCACAAAGTGTGTGTGTGTGCTGAAGCTGCCACTATGCGGGCTGCCACTATGCGGGCTGCCAACTCCGCGCCTACCTAACAGGTGGAGTTTTAGGTCGTGCCAAGGCCAAGAAACGACGAAAATAGTGTTGTAATGTTGGCGACGACACCCAAATTTTACGTCACGGTCAAGTTTGGTACTGCGGTCAGGCACTACGTCTAAAAGCAGCCATGGTAACAGTAATCCGACGTCTTCTGAGCACGATTATTCATGGGAATTATTCGCCCAGGTTTACGCATAGACGGGTTGAAGAGCACCAAGTTTGCGAAAATGCCGAAATCGCACGATTCGGGGGCGTTGAGCATGATGCGAAAAAGTTCTTTTGCTAGAGAATAATTCAAAGTACTTGCGCAAAGGACGTCTGCAAAAAAGGTTTGAGTGTTGGTGTCCTCTTCAACTCGAAGACAATGTTGACTTTGAAATAGCTTTGACTATTCACCGGAGCAGAAAAATGTAGCTGTTGGGGATCAGTCATTCCCACAAGACGGCTCGTCACGGGTTAGGATTTCGTCATTGTTCACACAACTCCCACCAATGACGCCACCACACTGAGTGAGCCATCCACGGCACCATAATGATCGCTCGTCTGCGTTAATCCGCCGTGATCCATTGGGTCGGACAGATCATTCGACCTTTGGCTGAGACATTAAAAGCTCTCTGCAGGAGGTATTTGCGTGTCTTACATTAGCGTGGAAAGTGGGGCCTAGCCTCAGACAAGGGATCTGGGTAGCCGGGCAAAATGGAGCAGCAACTCGAAGGCAGTCTAGGAAATCTCGTTCACTTGCTACAGAGATCGTTTCTAGATTCGGTGAGAGAAATCAATGTGTGTGATATTTGCCAATAATGAGATGGCAGGCAGTAATACTCAAGATTGAACAATTCTATTGTAATTTCTCTCTAAAACTACGAAATGAATCTAACTGAAGCGACTTTAAAGAAGACATACTCCATTAAACGGCCTTTAACTTTCGATAATGCTTACATCCAAGCTGCAAATTGAAAGTACTGAACGGGACACTTGAAATTACAAAAATGATAGCCGTAAATCAACACAGCAATCCGCTTGTTAGGAAGTTGTTTAGCTTTCAGAACTTCACCGTAGATCGCAACACCGCATCCATGTATGAAAGCGGCAATGGCTCATTGAAGTCATCCAAAAATCAAAGACAAAACTCCTGCTTGCCAACCGAAAAGCGCAATTTCACTTCCAATTTTTTAGCTAAAGTGGAAAAGGCCTTCGTCGAATGGTCCTAGTGATCCAATTGGTTCGAATTCGAACCGGGCACGGTCAAAGAGCACCACGATTTTAGCTATAAGCAATTATTATCGAGTCAGTTTGAATTTAAACAAGATGCATCCGCTTTAATTACACCTTTAGCACTAAAGAATTGCCATTGTTTTTAGATTTCTTTCTCAGAACTCGACGCACACTCACGTAAAAATAATGCTTTTTTTTGTTGGAATGAAAGTTATCGAACAATTCTCAGCTAATAACCACACATAGCCCCAAGACATAATGATCTGTGCTGTGTGCACGTAGGGTTCACGAAAAAACCGTGACCTGACCGAATAAGACGAGAAAACAGAACTTTTTAGGTCTGTCTGGAAACTCAACAATAGGATCAAATTTTAATAAAGACGCGTCTGCAACGTGCATAAGAGAAAACCAATCAGTGACGCACAATTTATCGATCCGTGTTGTACGTGTGCACACGTCCAATGCGGATGAAGACCATCAAAGTTTGCGTATGAGGCAACGCATGGGAGCTAGACATCGCACAGGTCAGAACAGGTACGTTTGTAATAGCTTGAATTTGGCACTACTTCACAACCCTCTAGGTAACAGCCCGTAACAACCCGAGAATGGAGTGAAGGGAGGCGACAGAGGACACGACCGTTATTAGCGTCACGCCAGCCAGGTGTGTCTTAGTGTGTGGATGAGTAAAAGGGGATGAGTCATGGCCACCGTCAGGTCAGCAATTGGGTTCACTTAGGCGCGATCGCTGTTAAACCGCTACACACTCATTTTCGGTTCGTTTCATTTGGTGGGGGGGCTCATGAATTTGATGAAATGGAACGCAGCACGAAGCACAGTAAACACGCAGGCCCACGAATATTCTAATTAAGCTAGCAAGAACCTTGAAAACTGGATTCGCTGGAGTTAGGCTTTAGAAGGTGCTTTTGCAAAGATGAATGGAAATAACAAAACGAAGAAAAACGGTTGAGCGAATCTGTCTCTTTCTGCTTCAGGTACCTTTTCGCGGTAAAGTGAGAGATAAAAGGATATCGAGCACCAATTGGCATCGTGTAGCGGCGTCTTAAAACAGAATGCACACACGTAACACGCCCTAATCGTCAACCGCAGTAGAACCGCATCAGGTTACACAATCACCAACTGAATTCGAAAAATGTGCTTGTTGGTAAGACATGAGTACAAATGTACCGGCCAAAAAAAACACACAAACGCGTACACCACCGGTGATAGCGCGAAAGGGTTAAACCAGTAGATCGAACGGCTGGACATAGTCTAAGCCGCTGAACTCCGACTAGCACACGTGCGGCCTAAAATAACGTGTTTTGTCAACCGAAATGTTATTTTTTGACACCTGGTGACCTAGATAAAGCGAGTAGCAGGAAATCACTGGTTAAACTACCGCCTGTTAACTTGGCTTCGTCTTCGGCCCACGAAAACTAATAACATCGGGCGTACTGGTGTCGGCAATACTATCAGATAGACGGATGGTTACGGGCATGGTTACAGTGATACTGATATCTTTGGGGCCTTCTAGACACGGTCAAGGGGAAATTTGGAGGCACGGTAACATGAACTGACAGCCGCTATGGCTGAACTTTGCAAAAAACCAGTGTATTGCCACACGTGAATCATGTGCCGATGCAAGTGAAGTCATCGACGTCCGTAAACGATTTCCCCAACAGAGTAGATTGGCGCTCATTTCACATCACTGAAAGAACCTTAAGTCAAGCGTGAAAAACATGCGAAATTGAAAAAGAAGGAAGCCAGAAATGGATTAATACGGGTGTGAAAGCACGCGTTAGTATTCCACCAATCATCGCCAAGGAAAGTCACACGACCAGAAGCAATCTCAAAGAAAGTCAGCTTATAAGTTTCTATTCTAACTGAAATCAGGATAGCTCAATTGCTAGGTGTAGTGGAGATTCGAGCAGCCAATAACGATCGGCGGAGCGGAGTTCCATAGCTGAATGTCAGGTGACCAATCAGATGCACTAGAAACGTCCTAGTTACTAACCGTAATCCAGTAAATTTGCAAATGTCCAATAACAATTGGCGAACAACCTGTGTCATGTGACTCTAGCTACAGGAAAATAGGCAATACCAGAGATATTAATTAGAGGCAGGGTTCTTGAAATTGAGAGCCTAGAAAGCAGACGGGAATGATTGTCAAGTGCTGATAGTCACGACAGGTTCACACACAGAACTTAAGGCGAGGCTACAAATGAACACAATAGAGAGCGTGGTCACAAGAAGCGAAGTAAAGACTGCTACGAATGGAGTTATTTCACGCCAATCACCCTCGGACGTCTGGCCCTTGTGACGCAGACCACTGACCAGCAATCCCTCTTTAAAGTTGCCAAAACCCTGCACGCACTAACGATTTGGCTGAGTCATCTAGTAAGCGATCCGATTTCCTCGGTGTTTGCGCGTTAAAATCGGGTCCTACTAACATTGGATAATTTGAATTCAATAAAGATGAGATTAAGAGTAACGAATCAGCTGAATCCGGTTAAAGGCGGGAACAAATGTCTTCAGCGGAATTAAGGCGGCGTACAAACTACGGCTTGACAGAAATTCACTTAAACATACACACCACCGAAATAAGTTGGCAAGGTTAAGCACTACGATAACAGATTGTGGCCGATGCGCCCCACAAAACAAGTATACAGAATCGTAATTAACCAGACAACGCCAAATTAGATTCCACTGTTCAAAAACCTAACTTACAGATGATGCATTTAGAGTCATTCTGAGGATCGGAAACAATAAAAATCTGCCTGAAGAGTAACCACGGTTCGGTTTCAGACAATGACAATCCCATCGACTTACATAGCTCCCCACGATATATCGGCGACAGATGAAAAGCCCATCCGCATTAATTAAATCCAGAGCAAACAAGGAGTTATTTAACGATGGTGACGAATGAGTGGCAACACAAAGCTAATCACCGCCACAGCAACTTTCACGAGAAGTCACAAGCGAGCCGTGAACAGGTGTCTACTCAACACAGCCACAGCATGTGTGAATGGCCGGAGGCAAAATTAGGACACGTGGATTCACCGAAAAACAAAGAACCAGAGAAAAATTGATTTATTTGAAAAATACCACTAACGGTCTTGACACGGCCCTTGTCATACTTCAAGCCAGACAAGCAGCAAGCAACATTTGAGTGCACTATTATAAAAAAAGGATCCGCGGCACCTGGACTGCCAGGTAAACACAGTTTAGAAACAATCTTTGAAGCACGAGACTGGAAAAAATGCAGTGAGGACGTAGGAGTACATTGTTCTTTTACAAAGCACAGTGGTCTACAAGAAGCAAATTGCCCAAACTGTGGCCCCGCGACGGCTTTGACGCACGGATCTGCAGTTTAATCGGGCGAGGGCATGACCTTGAGGCGCTCGAACGCTGCCTTCTCAAGAGACTCCCTAAAACGAAAGACGGATAAATAGTTATACGAGCATAACCAGGGGCGAGAATGAGCAAGTTTTTAAAGAGGCGCAACAGATGGCGGATCACAAGAAGAACTGGGGTGCTGTGTTCAAAGGATACATGCTAATGCCATTTTAGCAAGTTTCGTGATTCGGCTTATTGCCAAGGAAATCCAGATCTTGGGGAATGCCACGTCGCCAACAAGGCCGGTATCAAACAATGTGTGTGTGTGTGTGATGCGAACACAAAGCCACATAAAACAAACAGACAAAAGTACACGTGGCACATAATCGTTGTTGCATGGAAAGTAAGTGGCAGAAAGGAAGGAGAGGAAGCCAAATTAAAAGTTACAGCAAGAATCATTGCCTGTGAAATAAAAAAAACCAGAATTCACGCAAATATTAAATCGAAATAAAAGAATTACTATTCAAATATGTATTAAGTGCATTGACAAAAAACAGGAGTAAAGGGTAGACTAGGAAAAAAATTTGCCGATGCCAATAGTAAGTTGCAGAAACGAAACCTGAACACACCCTTTACGTGTTATGACCTTTTTAAATTTAGCTTCTGCTGCATGACAATATTGTTGTGAAAAAAATAGAATTAGGTTACTACACAGGTATTGACCAAAGCCTTCATTCGCCTGATCAAGACACACAGACCACAACGACGAATTTGACTTACGGATGACCTTCAGCCATTTCTGCATATAGCAGCGGAAGGCAGCAACTTAAGTGCGGTCATGAATTTACAGTTAATAGAAATAATCCTATTTGGGCTTAATTGAAGACACCAAGCACAAAGACTCGACTCCTCGACATACATTGAGGCAAGTCTTAGAGAAGTTATTTCGATACAATAAAACTGACGTCAAATCCTGACCAGAAAGTAGAAACGGACAGCAAAAAAAGGGTACCTGTGGTCGGGGTGAGCGATGTTGATGAGAGCGTAGGCCCTCTGACGCAGATTTCTCCCAAAGAGGTAGGCGATGCCGTACTCAGTGACAATATAGTGAACATGAGCACGAGTAGTCACAATGCCTCCACCCTCCTTTAGGTAGGGAACAATCTTAGATTGACCTTTGGCCGTAACAGAAGGAAGAGCAATGATTGGTTTGCCTTCACCATCAGTCGAAATTGCGGCACCACGAATGAAATCAACCTGACCACCGACACCTATAAAAAGATAAAATAATGAGCATTTGATGGTCTGAGAAGTCGCTGGATGATACCTAGGGCATTCAAATAAAATCCATGTTCTTTAGGAATTTATCCTTTTGGGAGTAAGAAAACCGATAGCACTTTCAAAAGGCATAATAATTGCATTTTAAGTTCAAGAGATAGAGAGGCATTTCCCAATAAATTGCGAACATGCAAAGAAAAGATCTTTAAAACGCACTCACCAGAATAGATGCGAGGCCCAATAGAATCAGACACAACTTGGCCGGTAAGATCAACCTCAATACACGAATTTATTGCCATGGGGCGAGGATTCTGGGCGATAATCACGGGTGAGTTAACCCACGCAATATCGCAAAGGTCTAAAATCAAAATTTTAGTGGCATAATTTCCACAAAGCCACAGTTAACGGTAGGCTGAAATAACTCACCGACAAAAGGATTGTTGTCAATGAAATCGAAGGACTTTTTGGTGCCGATAACGAAACTGGACACAATTTTGCCGGGTCGCATTTTTTTCATTGAGTTGGTAATGACACCGAGTTTAACTAGATCAACCAATCGATCCGAGAACATTTCAGTGTGGACTCCTAAGTGCTTATGATTAGTTAGCTGCGACAGAACGGCGTCAGGGATAGAGCCAATGCCTTGAAGAGATGAAGGCATTTAAAACAACCGACAATGTACAAGAATGCAAAGTTTAAAATGCTTTACCCATCTGCATTGTAGCGCCATCAGGAACGAGTTCTTCAGCGATAAATTTACCGATTTGCTGTTCAGCGTCACTGATTTTGCGAGCCTTTAATTCATGAAGCGGCTGAGGACCATGCATCAAGACAGCGATATTGCTAACGTGGATATTGGCGTCACCGCGAGTCAACGGCATGTGAGGATTGACTTGAGCTAAATGATATCCATCAAAACTTGTGGGATATCAAGCATACCAACAATAAACTTAGCATTCTGAATAGCAGATCGAGTAACGTCAACGCTGGGCCCAAGCGAACAAAAACCGTGCTTGTCAGGAGGTGTGATGCTAATAATGGCCAGATCAAGTTCCACATGTTTGCGACGGAAAAGCAATGGAATCTCGCTAAGGAAAATCGGTGTGAAGTCGGCACGTCCTTCATTGATAGCCTGACGACAGTTACTGCCTATTATGAGAGTAATAGCAAAACCTGGGTCGTACCGGTAAAAAGAGAGTTAGTTCGAAAATGACCCACACACTCGGGATCATTAAAAGGAAAAGGGCCTTCGGTATGGATATGAAGTAACTGAACATCCTTAATATTATTGGTCATGACATAATTGTGTAACTCTTTAACGAGCAACGAAGGAGTAGCAGCACCACCATGAACGAAAACCTTCGCGCCATCTTTTATGTGACCAAAGGCTTGTTCACCTGAAGTGGCCCACCGGGGAAATCGACCGGGAACAGGAGCGAAGGGTTCATGACTGCCTTCTATGTAATATTTGCATGATGCAGTCAAATGAAGGTTTCTTTGGATTGAAGAAATTGAGCAAGATCTAGATAGAAGTCTCGGAAAATTTAGTGCAAAGACAGAAGCCATAATTCCAGGCAAATGACAGTGAAAATAGAGGCGGCCACGACGACCGACAAACGACACAAACAATACGGGCAATTCTTCAGGTACATGATATTTTGGCTCAAATAAACAAAAGAGCGACAAATGAAATTAAGCCAAAAAGAAACTAAACGTTTATTGCAGATCATGTATCAAAACACCTTTATAAAAATTACAATAAATTTTTTTATTTTTCTGTCAAAGGCTGCCAGTTTGAAGAAATGCCATCTGCAACTAAAGGATAAGAAATTAAATCAATACCTGGTGATAAATGTAAGTTGATTCAGTCACATATTTAGTCAATTTTTATTAAAAAAATATACTTTGTTAGTACAAGGCATTTTGTCTGGGATAATGACTTGTACTTAACATCTGTGCCGCTAAGGCAATTAAATATTTTTACTGAAAAATCAATTAGGGCTAACTAGCAGCAACCGCAATAATAAATCAAGTTACCTAAATTTAAAGAAAATTTTGGCTCCACATGTCATGCTCTTAAGCATTAAGGAATCAACTCAAATTTATAGACCACCAAACCTATTTCAATAATAAGAAAAACGGTAATTTTGTTAGAATTGGAATTATAATTTAATATATCTGCACTAAGATCCTTCTAACGCCATAAAAATTAGCAAATACATTGGATAATATTTCAATGTCCACTAATATGTATTTGTCAATTGGGTAACTTTAATTTCGCGTAGTTTTGATTAGTCTTTAGTTTTTACAACACAATTTTGTAATTATCATTCAATCACTTTAGTAATTGTTTTTAACAAAAACTAAACCTTTAGTGCAAGCCTCTTATCCCGAAACAATTGCATCTTCAGTTCTGTGTGCGAAATAATTTAATAGGCACCCCAATTTAATCAGCTATACGTTATAATGGTTCTAAAATTTAGAGCTGCAAAAACATCATTTTTTTGAAGTTTTTTTTGTATATGAAATGTGTTTTAGTATTTCATGCACATCTATATTGAGGCCTGCGTAAACAGTCATCTTTTTAAATGGATGGATATGCTATACTCTCAAGGATTGGTGAAGGTGCTCATGGCGTTGTCCTTAAGGGTAGACATAAAGAGGTGAACTAACGAATTGTGATTGAGTCATCCATTTATAGACTGGCAAGTTAGTTGCTCTTAAAAAGGTTCCTTTGCGAAAACTTGATGAGGGATTTCCACATGTAGCCCTGAGGTAACATGATACGTTTAATGACCATTCTAGAGAAATAAAGGCATTGCAATTGACCTCCCAGCACCCTAATATTGTGCATCTATACGAAGTGTTTCCCCATGGGATGGGTTTTACGTTGGTTTTCGAATATATGGAGACAGACTTGAGCGAAGTTCTCCGAAATACAGACTCACCAATGTGTGAAGGAATAATAAAAAGTTACCTTATTATGCTCTTGCAGGGTGTCAGCTTTTTGCACGCAAATAGCATAATGCATCGCGTATGAAATTTTTGGGTTGCGTAGAAATTTTTAGGATTTAAAGCCTGCTAATTTGTTAATTGATAATAATGGCATATTGAAAATAGGAGACTTTGGCTTGGCAAGATTATTTTCAAAGGATGAAAAAAAACTGTATAGCCACCAGGTGGCAACTCGGTAAGTTAGGCACGTTTTTTAAAGAACAGTATTTAAGATGGTACCGAGCTCCCGAACTACTATATGGGGCGAGGATGTATTCTGAAAGTGTTGATCTATGGTAAAAATTTACAAGTAATCGTTATATTTTTAATAAAAGGGCAATTGGTTGTATACTAGGTGAACTACTTAACAACTCACCGTTATTCCCAGTAAGTGAATGGTCACTTCTTTGCAATTTAGGGGGAAAATGATATTGAACAACTGTGGTTTGTGATTCGCGTTCTCGGAACTCCAACAGAAGATACTTGGCCTGTTAGTTGCTTTTGACGTTTGCATTTTTATTCAAATTCTTTTGATATAATAAGATAACGACTGACAAAGTCGCAAGCAGACATCATGACCATACTGTCTTCACTAAATTGAGTTTCGCTGTCTCTAAAATTAACATTTTCAAAAAGGCAAAACGCAAGAAATTACTGGGGAAGCTAACGCTTCATCTGAAGTTGATAAGCCTCGTACATAATAAAACATCGACTTCCAGGCTTAGCTGTCAGCAGTGTAATTATAATTTGTTTTATCTAGGGTCTTGAACAGTTGCCGGACTACAATAAAATCACATTCACGCACTGCGAACCGGTGCCTTTGAAAGATGTTCTTATTTGTGCATCCTCGCTGGCTGTGGATCTGCTGAGCAAGTTCTTGTGCTATGATCAGAACAAAAGGATAGCTGCTGACAACGTAAGTATGCAAGCTCCGTAAAATAAGTTAAGTTTGCAAGGTTTATCTAGATACGTTTTGTATGGTTAATCATTCACCATGTTTTTTATGAAACTTATTGCACAGAAATGTGTCATTTATTTCACAACATTGCCTCGTATATGACGTTTTTGGTAGTCCAAAATGTACTTATCTATTCTTAAATAGAAACAAGACTTGTCTTTGCAGTTAAAACCAATACATCTGCTCAAGAATCTTCTTAACAGACAAACTAACAAAAACAATAACAACAATAGTTCATCACCCACCACAATTTTCTACCCTAAGTCCTTTTTTTGCGTGGGGTCAATCAGTGAAAGTCATGTGTGCATACGTTGGCTTAGGCTGTAGTTAGTGGGACCCAACATCCAAGTTGCTAAATTTTTCCCCATTTTTAATGCAAACGCCTGGAACTAGCTGTTTGGGCGACTCCTAATTGAGATGCAAGCTCCTGTTACGTTTGCGTTGGGTCATACTCCAGTAGAACTTGCAATTTCGCATTTCCAAACGTTTGCGGCTGCCCGGTGGAATCATTTGCCATCGTACACTCGGCTAATCTGAGAAGTTATGTAACTCACATAGATTTGTCATTCATTGTTCCGAAACCTTGCGTCCGATTCTTTCAAAAGCACTTAAGATCTCAGAAATATTTCAGTATGAAATGCAATTTTAATCTTGAAGAAAAAATAGTGAAAAAATAAGTCATTTAATAGACATTCACAAGATACTTCGTTGAGGTCATTGCTGATCACGAAGCTTCCAATCGAAATCACCCTCTGCGGTGTTCAAAGAAAGAGGGTACTCCGTGGTGCTTGATTTTTTGCTAGGTAAATTACACTTTCTAGGCCTCCTCCTCCATTCTCTGTAATGTTAGGCATTGCAGTACCCACATAAGGTTATTTAGAGTAATACGGAGCTATTATTAAACAGACTTACTGTAGAACACGACGATTCAAGTCTCTAGTCGCTGTCAATGAATATGTAGGCTCATTTGCAATCAAACCTGCGCTTGTTCTGTATTGTTTGTGTTAGCTTTTGCATTGGCTCTGACACAACAGCATGTCAACGCCGCCGATCACCCGCTAGGCAAACTAGATGCATAATCATAACGATATCAATGTACTAACAGGATTTACGTAGCATTTATATTGCAACTTGCAGGCGCTGCTGCATGACTTCTTCCTAAATGAGCCACTACCCGTCCACCCCTCGCGTCTTCCCGGTTCCTCGGCCAATCGGAAAGCCACCGCTCCGAATTCCGCAGCCCACATCCGCTATGAAAACTGCCTGAAGACGCCAATCACCAGCCTGCTTGCTCCGCCAGAATTTTTCGACGAAGCGGCGGCATACGCCCCGTCTTCGGATGACTGACTGTGGTTGCGCAGAGCCTTACTTAAAAACAGCTCACAGCTAACCTAGTTAGTGACCTGATTAGTTGTGTAGGCATTAGTCCGCATTGTCAATTTGCGACTGAGTTCCTAACTTCATCAGTTATCCCTTGTCTGTTCAGTTTGTCACCGAACCAAGCGACAGCCTGCCAATATGAGTCCGTTGAGGACCTTTTACCGCGAGGCTAACCCAGAAAGACAATAAGTCCAGAGATGGTAGGCACGACCGTTTACTAGACCGC